CTAAAGGCGCCTTTGGCGCCCATATATACTCCCTTTGAGGGGGAGCGCGCGCCAAAAAAACGCGATTTTTTTGTCAAAATTTTTCAAAAATTGCCCAAAAACGGCTGTTTTGACTGTTTTTTCAAAAATTTGCCGGCGGCGCAGAAAATTTTGCCAAAGTAGGGGCAAAACAGTGCTTTGGGAGAGCTCGAAAAATCAATTTGGTCGACCTAAAAAAAAAAAAAGGTCGTCAAAATTTTGGAAAATTTTTTGAAAATCCGCCCCCCCCCCTCGAGAAAATCCTAGATCCGCCCCTGTTCACTTCTATTCAAATTACGCAATGTTCCAACATCTTTTTACACTCAAAAATCGTGTGTCAAAAAGTGCTTGCGTTGTTTTTTTTAAAAACCTGATCAATAAGTTAAGTCACATTTGATTGTAATCGAACTGCACTCAAGCAAAAGTCAAATTTGTTTTTCAATATTTTCAAAGCGTTTTTTTCCGGATACATGATCTACGTCACGATATTTAATCTCGATAACTTTTCTTTAACAAGTCGCAATACTTAGCTCAGTAGAATCACGGATTTCCTCTATTCTTACGTCTAATCTCACCCTCACAGTTAAGTGTTTACTGCCGCTTTCAGATTCTATCTGATCGCCAAAAAATTGTTTTCCTCATTTTGTTGTGTTTTTAAAGGATTTGTTTTTTTTCATCGTTGGTATCAAATGGCATTTTAAATCTGTGTTGTCTGTAAAGCTGATTAGACTGTGCGTAAGTAAGAAGCTTTGAATAAGCTTGTTTTTATATCCTCCCTAAGGATAAAATTTTCCACCAAACCCTATAAAATGCGATCCCATTTGGATGAAATATTGGAGATAAATGAGTTTCCTTCCTCATCGTCTTCTTCTGGTCTAGACATTGATTAAAATTAGACTAGAAGTTGCTCACCATTTCTTACCATTTAAAAACCCTAGCTTATTCGTGCTTTTTTATTTAAAAGAGCCCCATTCAATGTTTGTTTTTTCCTCTCTAGGCTAAAAAAAATCTTTCCGTTTAGTTCGTGCCGTATTAAAATTAGAACCTCCCGTTTTTCCCTGTGGAGTAAAAACAAAGGAATTAAGTGTGACGTATTGAAGAAAGTACGTGCTTTAAAAGCTAGCAGGTTGAAATAATTGCCCAATTGAATTGGAAATGTAGCGGAAAAATCCCAGTTTGATGCAAAAAATAGTAAACTACAGCGCGTGATTGAAAAAATTTATCCTTAAATCATGCCTTTGAACGTTAGTTCAGACAGAAAAAAATGCTAAAAAGTTTGTCAATAGATATGATAGCAAGCCGTACTGGTTTCTCTGACTAGACTATTGTCTACAATGCCTCATATACATGCTTTTATGTTGCATGTACTGTTTTTAAATTGGCGATTTTTTTTTACAGTTAGCGCATTTATTTTAAGCCATGCGGGTTCACGTTGCCTGGAAATTAAAATGGAAATTTAAAGAAAAAAGAGGAAATGTTAATTCATGCAGATACTTTTTATGGTGCTACATGTGCAATCATTTGGCCCATTAAGAAATGCCGACGTGACGTTGCCTGACCTTTTCAAAGGAATTGGGAAATAAGGATATAACAACACCTTTCCCGTTGTTTACGTCCCTTGCCAGTCGGTACTGAAATTGAAAGGGCCTCTTTATTTGAGAATGCATATTTTTACTACTCTCTCTCTCTCTCTCTCTCTCTGACTCATGTGACATGTCCGTATCTTTCCACTACTTCAAGGTCTAGCGGGTAGTGTGACGATGCAAAATGGGAAAAGTGAACGTAAGCACGCCTGGAGATGAGGGAAGTGACGCTTTCACTCGTCCCATTGAAAGTGCATCTAATTAGCACTTCCCATTGACTTCGCTTACCTGGATATTTTTTCAAAAATACAATCCTCATCTGTTTCAGCGGAACTTTCAAAGCTTCAAAGTCCGATTTAAAAAAGCGAATCAAAAGTGAATCAAAATGAATGAATCTAACAGAAAATAAGCGCAAGTACCAATTCAGAAGCCCATAAAAATGAATCGTCGCTTTTTATACCATGAATAGCCCTATCAAAATAACTTTTGCAACACTTATTTGATTCAGCTATTTTTACGAGCCAATATAGTTGTAAAACCGTTCTTTTATGACTTAGATCAAAGAGTTCTTCTATGTTATCAATATCATTAATATACTCATGAACAAAAACATGAAAGGCGGCATATTTAAAAAAAAAATTGAACACGCAGATGCTGGAAAGGATCTTAGTATTTGCAAATAAAACAGACTATTTAATTTATATATATTTGGATTTCCCGTTATAATAGAAAAACAGTCAAGGTCTTCAGTTACTAAAGTCACTTGTTCTTGATCAAAGCAACAGCGATTTATCAACTTTAATGAGGACGAGCGCTGAGCAAGGCTGCTCAAAAATTAATTTTTAATTGAAAAATTAAATTTCAGCGAAAAATCAATTAACGGAAATGGAGAAAACTAAAAATCCATTAATGGCCATTATGGCCATTAATGGCGTTTAGTTCAAATGTTTCTCAGTTTTCTTCTTGAAGAGCGTAATTGACGGTTTCAACATTCCACATTCGTGCATTGGCTTTGAGAAAGAGCTGTTCTTCGAGATGTAAAGGGGTTATTGATTGCCGCAGGTCACCCAGAGAATACCCAGCTGCGCTGAAAAATCTTTTAATACGGTTCGAGGTCGGCTCCAAAAATTTGCAACTCATGTACTCCGTCGCAGTTGTCTTTGCACGCTTGCTCTCCAAAACGCGTGTTGCAAAATCCGACGAACTGGCACTCACAGAAGGCAAAACAGCTGTACAGCTCCTCAGAGATTGACACTCCTCTTTCTCTCTGATTGTCAAGTTTGCCTCATTCTTGTCCAAAATCTTGATAACACCATTTTCAAAGTTTGGGCTGGCGATAATTGAAGCGTTTGGCGCAAGATATTTCATGTCCATGTCCAACTCGGGAACACGGTTCACGACTTCGTCAAAAAGAAGTCTGGTCGATGATAAGTCGATAGATTCCCGCTGTAGAGCTAAAGTTACTGAATCGAGAACTTTCATGTTTTCGTGAACTTCCAACACTTTCTGGTTTTCCCGAGCATTGAGCAACGAATCAAGTAATGTCGGTTCACTCGAAAAATGCTGTTCGAGTATTTGTTTTAACTCCAAGTACCTTGAAACCATTTCGTAAGAACTGCTCCATCTGGTAACGTTTTACAGATTAAACACACCACTTTTGACATGTTTTTGCCAAACATTGTCAGAAGATAATTCAAGTAATCCAGGTGCTCGGAAGCCGACATGGAAGTTTCAACTAGAAGTGATGACAGAAACAAACCCAGCAAAGGCGTCAATTTGATTCTCCGACGGATATAATTTTTTCTGGTAATTCGGATGAGCAGACTTAACGTGATTTAGTAAGTTGGTATAACCCTTGTTTTTCGTCTGTTTGATAACTTTTCCACATACACATTTCCGTGTGTCATCGCTCAAGACAGCAAAATAATGGTTAACGATTCGCTTGCTGGAAGCAGAATTGGGCGGCATGACTTGCTGGAACCGCGTTGTAAAACAATCTGCCGTCAGCTGCTCAGCTCACTTTGTTTGCTCCTTTGTTTGCTCACTTTGTTTGCACTTTGTTTGGATTCTCACTGTCCACCGCACAAAACATCTTTCTCTGAAATAACGGAAATGGCCTTTAATTTTTTGAATTAAAACTCCATTAATGCCATTTTGAATATTAAAAAATCCATTAATGGCCGTTAATTTTTCCCCCCATTAATTTTTGAACAGCCTTGGCGCTGAGGAAGTGGCTTAGTCTCCGCCTTTCAGTCGAAGTTTTGAGGCCCACCATGATTAGTGCGAGCGAAGCAACAAATCTCAGTCGAGAAAATTAACCAGAAAAATAGCATTAGTTCGTAATAGGGGATACAGCTAGCCATTCTCCCTTAAAAAAAACTGAACAGCTCATATGTTCAGGCGTGGATTTACAGTGAGGGGGCGGACGTCCCCCCTCCCTCAATTCGAACCGCTCACCAACCAAAGGGTCAACCTAAAAGAAGTTGACAACAGTTTTTGAAAATCCGCCCTTTAGATAATCCTAGATCCGCCCCCTGCTTATATTGATCCTTTCCTTTGTGGCTAAATGGTTTTAATTAATTTCTTTAAAATTAGTATATGCAATTTTTTGAATGGTATGTTTGAGCCCATACATGCCTGAAGTTAGCGCAAATACGTCTTTTTTTTCATTCGTGGCTCAAGAAAAAACTTTACCTCTTGAAAAAGTTTTTATTGTTTTACAATAATCCAGGCACCTTTGTTACCACTATTACTTGAACGTTTTATCTTTCTTAATGAGCTAACTTGCTTTGAGTTGAACAAATGGCATTGTAGGTTGAGCATTCTCTTTTTTTATTTTATTATTTACCAGAATTAACAAGACAGCTTAGCTTGAGCTGTACAATGATAGATCCAAGAGCATTGAAGTTTGCTTGTTTGTCATTTTATATGCAAGCTTTAGAAAGCGTTTTTTTTGGAACGGGTGACACATAATTAATCAGAAAAACGTGCAAAATTTGCTTTTTAGAACACCTGTCTTTCCCTGATTGAAGTAAAGAAATCGGTCTGAAAATATCATACAGACTAGAAAGTGGATTGTATTATTCATACTCTGTGATTTATAGTGCGTCGATTTGGACTGTATTTAGTCTGGTTTTTGAGAATTGTTTCCATAACAAGCTAGGTGCACTCTTTGTACTCTGAATTTACATGGCGTCTAGCACAAGAATGAGACTTCTCGGAAGAAAATTTTAAAAAATTCGTGCTGGTGACTGTTTTTCGGAATATTGATTTTTTTTAGTTGCGCAAAAGATTGCAGCAATGAGTTTTATTCGGTCCGTACACTAATCCAAAATGGCCCTTCAAACTCGTAGAAATGAAACAAACTTGACCGGAAATCATGATATTGTTCTGTTTCAGGAAACACGAGTGTGTAGTGGCGGAGACTAAGTTCAAACTGAACCCTGATCTGTTCCACATTCAGAGACAGTTCTCAAATCAGAGCCACGTCTCATCCCAAGCCATTCTGGGCAACGGAGGACTCCTGCCTCCCCCCAACTTCCAGCCCCCCTCTCCGCCCATCAAGGTGGACCCATACAGTCTGGAGGTGGAGTGTGCGAATGGAGGAGGACCTTTGGGGGAGCAGCAGGAAGAAACCAGTTGCCCCCCGTGTTGCATGGGCGCAAAGGCGAAGACTAAGGTGGGTTATCGGTTTTTTAATCAGTTCATTACACAAGCGGACTAGTGGGATATTACAAAGTCCAGACGTAGTTCAGGGATAACGTAGTTCAGACTCTTATATAGGTCGCGATGATGTTTTTAAGGAAACGTCATAAAATTTGTTCAGGCTCTAATTCTTTTTTTGTTGCGTTTGACTTTTGGTTTATTTTTGAGTTCAGTTCATGTCCTTTGTTAAAAGGAAGGCAAACTTTACTCTCGAACAGATGGTCATCGACTTCTAGGTTCGAAAAAAGAATTTGATTTTCAGATTCCAGCAAAAAAATAGCTATTGATCCAGTCTTTTCAAATTGGGCCAATTTTATTGAAAAAGTGGCAAGCATAAATTGTTCTAGAAATTCAAGGATATTCAAGTGAATTGAAATTCAAGTCTTTGAAATTCGTAAGTTGAGAGAGTGCGCATTTATTTGGTGGAACTTTTGTGGCTATAGCATTATATCTAGTTGTTCCGACTTTCGATACGAAAGTAACGGAATATTTGTGCTCGGGGTGGGTTTTTTTTCTTCAGACAAATTTCAACTTTTTAACTAGCCATTTTTGACGGAATTTTTTTATATCATTCGAAAGGTATTGTGTCCTGAGCTCAAATTTGAAAAGATATTTTACCTGTGATCTTTTTTTGTAAAGTTACGGGGGTTTAAAGATTGCCATTTTGGTCAAATTTGCCAATTTAGGACAATTAACGCGCAATATATTTCGCGCTATTAACGCGTAAGCGGAGAGTTAATCAGTCTTAGAAATCGTTCCAAATTGGTTAAAAGAAGCTTATTTGCCATAATTGGTTTGTTACAAGGAGCGAAATCTATCCTTTTGTACTTTATATGGCGTGTGGGGGGATGATTTTCATAAAATATTTCACATTTTAGAAAAAAAAATTTCTTTTGTTTTATTTCATTGAATTTTTTAATGTTATTACTGCTCCATAAACCTTAAAAGGCAGTCGGAATGTTCAGGGCTTTGCCCTGATACGAGCAGTCTTGTTTATTTTTGTTGCATCAGCATTAATCTCGGTATCTGGTTTATTGGTGGCTAGTTTTTACAGTTTAACAAGTGCCCTTGGAGAAGATGCTAGGGCGTGAGACTCGTAATTCTTATGTCGTGGGTTGGGTTTCGTTACATATCAGATTGTTTTTAACTAGTTTTATCTTTCTTTTTTAAGTGTAAAAGAACGAAGTGATTTTCATTTAAATAGATCTTGATGATTTTTTTTGGTTGTTTTTCAGGAAAAACTTTAATTTTTTTTCACGCGGTTTGAGTTATGATATCTATTTAAATTCTCTGCATTTCTTTTTTTAAATGGAAAACTTTCATATCGAAAAGCAGTAGTAAAAAAGGCAAGACAAACTTATCTAGTTTCTAGTTTTAAAATGGACTTCAACTTTCTGAATTCCAAGCGGAATAAAAAAAGTTACCTACTGGTTCCCCGTTTTCTCTAAATTGGATAACTTTAAGAAAAAAGTGAGCTCTTTTCCAGTTTCCCCCCTTCCCCTTTCAAATTCAATTTTGAATAGTCTATTTAACGTTGTCATAATGCAATGAAATTTGGCGTGGTGAACATATCGACAATACTGAACAGATTTGTTTTTCGTACTTAACAGCGTAACATCACGCGTTTAGCCGTAATAACACGTAAAACAAACATAAAACTCGGTATTTTGAAAGGGGGAACTGGAAAAGAGCCATAAAGTGTTTGAAATTTGAAGAGCTTCAACGTTATATATTTTCTTGAAGTTTGTATATTGAAAAATGTTCAAAAACTTCCAATCAACTTATTTTCGATTTCTTATGTTGCATGATTGGTACATTTTGATATGTGCATGGTTAATAAAAAAAGTTACTAAGATACCAACTTTTATTCAGATAAACTTTTTCATAATCTCTTAAAGAAGAAAATATCATCGAAACTCCAGATTGCGCTCTTGCAGAACAAATATACATTTTAATTTGAGTTGTAAGATTGATGTGATAATGTTGTGTGGCGGTGCATTTAGGTGATGAGTGCTAGGCAGATGGTGAGTGTGATGGTGATTGTACTGATTCTATCCTTCGTCCGGGGTATCGTGTTCGCCAGTGTGCTCAAGTACTCCAAGTGTGCCATAGACGACGGTACCATGTTCCCCACCTGCGAACCAGGTAAACAACACGAACAGCAAACAAACAAATTCATGCATTCAATCTTAATTTGATGTTCAAATTGGACCACGTTGAGCCGAATTGAGCCCTCCACTTACAAAAAAGTGAGAATTGAGCTGGTACTTTGCCTATAGCGCCAATGTTGAAACTTAAATTAATTAGAGAATATTTGTTGGAGGAGGGGATTTAAGTTGATCTCGGATCTACTTAACAATCTTCCCCCCCCCCCCCTCCCACCCCCCCCTACGATACCTACTTAAGAATCTCCACCCCTATAAATAAGTACAGTAAATTAGCACTGAGCTTTCTATTGAGAATTCTAACTTTGCTGCATTCTGATTGGTCGCAAAATCGACCATTTTGATCAACTTAACAATCTCGCCTTTCTTGAAAGGTGTGGAGATTGTTAAGTAGATCCTTGATCTCTAATGATCAGCATATGGATACTTTTTTGTCCCAAATATACCACCTACTGGAAGTCAGCTTATATCTGACACATTCTTTTTTTTTCATGATAATATTCCCATGATAGTAATCCAGGGCAGAAGTCAGGTCGAGAAGCGTCTGCGTAATGCTATATAATAGCGCTCATAATTGATAGACCGCTTGACCTCAGAAATATCAAGAAGAAACAAAACAGAACTTCCAGCATATATAATATGATCGGCTAATTGAGCAAACTATGGGCCCAAAACAACTGGCTTCTATTGTCAAGAAAGATACTCAAGAAAACACTAAAGAAAAGGAAATAGAAAAATAGATTGTTTTCTCAGTACGCAACATAATTACCCGGTCTGGATGATTTTGGGTTTTTTCAATTGTCGCGAGCTTAAAAAGTCCAGGGAAAAACTGTGGTCAGTTGATGTTTGAAATGCTGCTAAAATGACTCTTATTGATCCTTAGACAACAAATGACCCTAAAGAGACAACCTAGCATCGAATTATTCGGATGAAAAAATATCTGGGGCAGAAATTAGTTGCTTATAAATAAAAGAAAATTGAATGAATTAGTTAATAAAAAATTGTGAGCGAATCACTGATATCTGAAATACTTTAATTGAGGCTGTGTTATTAAAACAATTGCATGCACGCGGCAAAAAGCATGCAAAAACTTGGCAATATAAGAGATTGAAAAACTAATAAGCTGATCGGCTTATTGTTTTTCCTCATCTGATTCAAGTAATTCAGATCAAAACAACCACTAATCTTTCTTAAACTAAAAAAAGACTGCTCGTATCAGGGCGAAGCCCTGAATGTTCCGACTGCCTTTTAAGGTCTATGGAGCAGTAATAACATGAAAAATTTAATTGTTATAAAACAAAATTAAAAAATTTGAAAAAAAAACTGAATTTTTTGTGAAAACCTCCCCCACACGTCATATTAAGTAGAAAGTGATAGATTTTGCTCCTATTAACAAATCAATTATGGCATATAAGCTTCCTTGAACCAATTTGGAACGATTTCTAAGACGGAATAAATCTCGCTTACGCGTTAACAGCGCGAAATAAATCGCGCGTCAATTGTCCCAAAATGGCAATCTTTAAACCCCCATAATTTTACGAAAAATGGTCACAGGTGAAATAACTATTCGAATTTCAGCTCACAACAACAATAGCTTTCGAATGATATAAAAAATTCCGTCAATGATGGCTAGTTAAAAAGTCGAAATTTGTCTGAAGAAAAAAAACCAACCGCGAGCACAATTATTCTGCTACTTTCGTTACGAAAGTCGGAACAATAAAATAAAAACCAGGACATGCATTGTTAATTCGATACTCAATTAGGTCAAATAGGGCTTCAAAAATTACTCATTCCAAACGTATCGTTGGGTCTCTGGGTTGCTCATTAATTTTTGAGTAACATTCTAACCGGGCGTCGTTCTGAATTTGACCGGTGGCTTTTGATCATTATTTGGGATTTTTTGAAGTGTGCATAATCAATAAGATTCAAGGCTTCGCTCGTTCTTTTGCAATCAAGTTTGCAGTTATGCGTGATTGAACAACCTATTAGATAGAATTCGTTCACAGCACAGGTTAATTCGTAAACTCAACTCAGCTACTGCACTTGTTCTAATCAAGACATTAAACATTTAGTGTTTCGAACATTGAGCTGAATTAGTCACCCAAGTAATAAGAAAGGGGACCTGGTTTGAATCTGGACTGACTTAGTTATGATTTATGAATTCACGGTGTTATAAGTTGGCGACTTGGTTTGTAGTGTTATCAATAAAAACAGCCGAAATCTGCTGGAATGAGTTATAGCTCTGTTGTTAAATCTAGGGTGGTGGGCCATAAATTCTTTCTTTCCTTGCTTCAGTGAACGGAAAACCCGTGAAGCTTGCATGTGATTAGCACTAATATTAAGTTTCAAGTTATCCTTCGAAAAATGTTTTTTTTTCTTAAGCTAAAAAATATTTGTTCATAACTTTCTAGACAGCTTGAGTTGTGACTGCGTATTTTTCTTACTCTTTTCACATATTTCTTTTTCAAAATTGAACTTTTTGTGATTTCGGTGTTTTAGATGTCACAATGTTATTTTTTAATAATTCATCATGTTTGTATTTTTATCCCGCTTTGAAAGTTTGAACCAGGCTCTGTCACACTTAAAAATGACAACTGAATTTTTAATTACTCTTCGTTAACAGTGAACCGGGAGAGCAATATCCGTTTTCTCCTCTGTTTTTTCCAACAGAAGAATGGTATTTAATAACACAAATTTATTGAATTTCTCCCACTTTCCGTGGAAATCATTACAACCATGTATATTTGCATGTTTTGTTCTTTGAGGCTCTGCCTTGCACACATACTAAGTGGTATTCAGAAAGGAGGTCAGCACGTGATGTTGATACAGCTTGAAAAAAGAACGTAAAATAACACAAAGACGCAACGATAAGTTGAAAGTATACGAGATGAGATGTATGAAGTAATAATTACGTGTGTTCGCTAGCAGTTATACTATACTACTAGTACTTGACATTTTTGCGTCCGAATGCACGGCATTTGTGTGATGTTTTTTTTTAATTTGTCGTCTTAAAAACAAACTAGAATGTGCTCTTTTTTTCTATCAATCATGTTAGATATAAACTGTGTCCTTTTCTGAAACAAAAGTGAAAACCATTCCTGGATATGTGTCAAAAATATAATATCCAACATGTACACAAAATATATATTTTTCTAATGAAAACGTTCCTAGATTTGGCGTGTTTTTACGTCAATTGTTTGTAAATGTAACGATGTAATCTAACCTACTGTTGTAAAACATCGCATAAGCTCATTTGTTATGCAGAATACATGTAAATTTGCATCATTACTTTTCAGAGCAATTCCGTAGTGCAAATAAAAAATTGTGACCTGGAGATTGCATTTGTTTACTGTTTTAGGGCCTATTTTATCCCAATGCTAATTACAGTCATTCTGTTGCCTCAAGTGTGTTTAAAAAACAGCGTGAATCAACTGTGAATCAGATTTGAAATATGTTTATTTTCCCTCCAGCTCCTTGAAGTGTGAAATGATCTTCCTTCGAATGACAGGGATCTTCCTTCAACGGACGCGCGATACCTTTGTTTAAAAAAAAACTTTATGCCGCTGGAAAGTATGATAACAGCGATAAGATTTAGTTGCCATTCGCTTGATTTTCGCTAATAGGTAACATGCAAAATATAAAGTGATTATATACCGATGTTTTTTTTTCTTGGTTTGAATCTGTGATGGCTCGCTCGAAGAAAAATTGAAAGTTTTGTTTATTGATTGTTCAATATTTGTGATAGACAATTTCTTATCGATGAATTGCAAGTTTTGCTCATTTCTTATCAGATATAGGTAGGAAATGGGTGGTATCTGATGAATTAGTCCCCAATGAAACCGGATTGTCACTTAATATAATAAACAAATCTGAAGTTACTCAATGGTGCCGAGGCATATATTTTATCTGTTTTATGAACCTGAATTGTTCGTGAAAAGGAAGTCCAGAACACTTTATTGGTTCTAAATAGAGTCGTTTTGAAACTTCATTTTCTTGTATTGTAATCACTAGCCACAACTTGATAAAAGTATCATCAGACAGCAAAATTTGCATAAGGTCGCCAAAATTTATCAGCACCATTTCATAGAGACCGCCCGGATCAAATGAGCAATCCCCCCCCCCCGTAATGACCAATTGAGCTATCTCCCCCCCCCCAGCAAAAACGAATAAACTCTTCAAAACGACGTCAGCAAACGGAAGTAGATGGATGTTTTGTTTATAGCACGCAATCATTTGACCGACTGAAGTTTTTTTTTTGAAAAAAAAACTTAATTTATGAAAAAAAATTTTTTTTTGCAAATTTTTGTATAGGCGACCATAGCCTCATCGAGGAAAGCGATTTACCAGGGTTGGTGCTCTAGCCTTGTATCTGAATAGCAAAAACGGTTCTACGCAGCACCTTAATATTGTACGCAAAAGCTTTTTGTCCTTTTAATTTGATTCATTGATTCTTTTTTCTATTTGAATGAAACTTTTGAGCTTTGATATTGTAAATTTTGGCTTTCCACAGTCGTTGGAAAATATGGTTTATGATTTCATGTCATTCAAACTATTTTCAAGTGGTTATAAACATGTCTCAAGTACCTATTGAGCTATCTCCCCCCCACGCGAGAATGGGGGGGGGGGGAGAGATTGCTCAATTGATCCGACCGCCCGAACCTTTGCCATCAAGTATAGAAATTAAATTGTTCATGTTTTTGGGCGTCACGAACGCACGTTCATAATGGTTTATTGATTTACCTCTCTCTTATACAAACTGCGGGCCTGGAGATTTTGACCTCTGGTTTAATTAAAGTGGGTTTGTTTTTCCGAATAATCATTTTCACAGTTTTCGCACTTCATAGTCTCATCTATAAAATCAGTTCTACCACTGCCAGTCAACTGCGCATTCAACCAGCCAATCTGTCAGTCAGGTGTCAAAACTAACAATATTCACGCACGCAGAACATGATTGACAGGCGAAAATTAATCTAGATTAAA